AATAGCAGCACTTTTGACTGATATATAAGATGTGAGAGAAAAAGAAAGGAATGAGAGAATAATTTTGAAAACAATTTTTTTAAAATTATAAACTAAACAAGTTCTTTTGTAATTTTCATTTCAAAAATTGATCTAAAAATCTAACCAAACACAGGCTAAGTACGAGAAAATAACGAATTTTGTGGACTTTGCCCATTATCAAGGGCATTGCTTAATAAGTGCCGTTTGGCAAATCGCCAAAAAATTTTGCAGCTTTTTTCAAAAAAAGCCCCCATTTTGGCAACTTGCCAAAAAAGCTACGTTTTTTTAGCTCTTTTCAAAAAAAAAAAGCCAAAATGCGTTTTAACCATTAAAATCAATTGGGAAGGTAAAAAAAAATTATAGGTAAAATTACAACTATGCCCTTCATAGATCAAAATGAGCCACATATAGGTGAAATTATAAATTTACTAAATTGGTTGAGGGTATTTTGGTCATTTAATTGTGATGCGATAACATAAACAAATATTAACTAAAAAAACCAAAAATAAGTTTTTACCAACTTTCCAAATTACTTTATAAAAAAACCAAAAAAACTTGGTAAAAAATTAACTTTTTACTATCTTCCCAAAACACTCCTAAATTTATATTATTTTGAGATGTGTAATTTGTTATGAGAACATCATTAAAAGTAATTTCTTAAACAAAAATGATTTGAACCCCCACAGGGGAGGCATCCCTACGACCCCTCTGGCTATGATTGGCCAATTTTATTTTATTTTTTTCTTCTTTTCCAATCACCAGCCCTCACTTGTGTGAGGGTGGTGATTGAAGGGGGTCGCAATCACTTCTCTTTTTTTAAACTTATATGATTTGTCGATACATCACGTTAGGGTAAAAAGTATACTGGTATATAATAATAACTTGGGTGCTAATAAAAGTACTCATTAATCAATCACTTTTTTTTTCTCTCTCTCTCTCTTCTCTTTTCAAAATTATTTTTTTCTCTTTTTTTCACACACACTCTCTCTTTCTCTCTCTTTATATTAATAAATAAATCAATCATTTTTTTTCTCTCTTCTCTCCTCTCTCACATTCTACATATCAATAAATCAAAATTTTTGTCACACTCATCTATTTAACTACAAAAAATAAAAACAAAAAAAGCTACAAATCATCTCAAAATTATTTTTAAAACTCATAACTAAACAAAATTTCAATTTTAAAAATTCTTTTCAACAACTTATCTTTTAAAATACAATTCAAAATTTTAAACTTAAAACTCTTTTTAAAAATTAAACCAAACTGTGTTTATACTAGCATTAAATCAAATACTCCATTCGTCCCAAAATATTAGTCTCTTATTCTATTTTTATTGTCCCAAAATATTAGTTCCTTTTCAAAAATCAAGCATTAAAATAATACAAATTTCTTATTTTGCTATTCTTTTAAATTTGTTAATAATACAAAAAGTACAATTATGACAATTAATATTTCTTAAAAAATATACTATCAAAGGATAATTTTGGAGAATTAATTTTTTTAAAGCGTAATAATTATTGTATCAAAAAAATTGAATTCTCTGAAAAAAAAAATTTATTATTTTGAGACGGATGGAGTAAATGAAATGCACGTGTGTTAGAATATTATGGACAAAATGGGCTTTGATTGATTTTTTTTGGGTTAAATTACAAACACACCTCCAGAGATTTACTTAAATTAAAAATTACCCTCTCCAATTCTAGAAATTACATTATGTTCTATAAGGTTTCTAATTTCATAACAAATAGGTCGTTTTATTAATAAATTATCAAATTAATTAACAGTTTTTAATAATGTTAAAATTTTATTTCAATTAATAATTCAGATAATTTTATTATTGTATAGGTAAACGGTTAGAAATTTCACTTTTTTAGTTAATTCTGTTAAATAAAAAATTCTGACATGGAGATATTTGTAATTTTTTAAATTACAGGGACAATTCGTATTTTAAGCAAATCTCAATGATGTATTTTTAATTTACTCTTTTTTTTGAACAGTTGCTTTGATTGATTTGACTCCCAAAATAGTTACGTAAAGGATCAACATTTATTATTTAAATTTGATTATAAAAACTTAATTAGTAAGTAAATTAAAAATATTATCAATTGAAAAAATGTTAAAAACGTTCATTGTAAAATTTAATTAATAATTTTGAACTTTGAAAAGTAAAAAAATAAAAAGAATTAAACAAAATTTTTATTATTTGATGAATTAAGCAATTGTCATTTAAATAAAAAAAAATCTGTTTAAAATTCGCTAATCGCCCCAATAATAATTGCACCATCCCTACCCTTTTGTTCTGCAATTTTTATTTTTTCTTATTCTAGAAAATGTTTTTTTATACATCTTAGAAAATTTAAGCTATATTTGGCATAATGGGTGGGGGGTTAAAATAGCCACAGAAAGATAAAATAGACTAAAAAATTAATAAGATAAAATGTCACATTTAAACCATAATCATTTTATTTTTTTATCACAAAAGTCAAAAAAATCAAAAAGTTCATCCCAAATAATTTTTTTTTTTTAACTCAGGCTAAAAAAATTAAAAAACCAAAAAATTAACTCACTTTCCAAACAAAGACTTACATCACAAAATTGACTTTTCAGCATAAATCAGGTCTCTTTCTCTAGCTTTTACCAAACAATCACTTTAACAAATTAAAATTGAAAAAATTGGTTTAAGGTCCCTCTCTCAATTTTAGTAATGGAAGAGATCCACAATATTATATTATGATGTCTAAGATCCCTCAACTTCTACACCAATATATCACAGAGAAAATTAACTCTCTCAAGTCAATCCACCAAATAATTTCTCATTGAAGAAAATCTGAGCCTACTCTCTCTCTCTCTATATCAAGAGACCCAGCTTCTTCTTCCTCAAGTAGCTCTGCTTCGGGTTTCCTCCAGCCATTGCTGCTCTGTACAACACTATCATACAGTTCCACTTGCTTGCCCTTCGTCCTGCTCCAGAAGTCCCAGCAAAGTTAAGTTGTCGCAATGACACGAGTTTGCATTCTCTCCACAGAAAAAGGCTGGAGTCTCTGATTGATCAAAGTAGAATTTCTTGTTCAAGACTTGCTCAGTTGAAAAGTCATTAGTATACCTTGAAATATCTTCCTCAACTCCAAATCTGAAACCAGAATTCTGACAGGTTGAAATGCCTCTCCGACGAGCAACCCATACCACAGCGCCATCTTTCTTAACTTCCATTTTCTCGAACAATTATGTTTCATAAAAGCACGTCCTAGCAGGTGTAGAAGGCTTGAGTTCACAAGAAATGGACAATCGAAGCTCGCTGAAATCAAAATTCTGTGAAATATTCTCGAAACCGTCAACATCTGAATGCGAATAAGAATCATCCCTATGCTTACTAAAGCTTCTCATGGACTCGAGTTTCCCAGAAAATCCCGAATTCTTTTCTCGGAACTCTGGATTTTTCTTCATAGTCGTCCCAGCCAAGCAAACAGCTCCCATTGTGCTTAGATTATCCAGAGAAATTCCGAAGTCCAGAGAAATTTGGTGGACGAATCTACAATGCTTTGTCCTTGTTTTACTTGATTCTCCTCATCATTATACAAGCATTCAGCCTTTTTATTTTCCCACCCTGCCATAAAACATCAATATTAGTTTCAGAGAAATTCAAAATTTCTCTAGAGATAAGTTCGGAAGTCAGAGAAATTTGGTTAAAACACATTATGAAAACACATTTGATAAATTCCGAAGTTAGAGAAATTCAAAATTTCTCTGGAGATAAATCCAAAATTTCTCTGGAGAGAAATTCCGAAGTCCAAAGAAATTTCTCTGGATCAATTTTCTCTGGATCAACTTGAGGGACCTTAGACATCATGAAAATATTGAGTGTCCTTTATGCTGTAAAATCTTAATACCAAGGACCTTAAAAAAAATTCCCCATTAAAATTTTAAAGTAAAAAATTAAAAGATAAAATTAATTTTTAGGAAGAAAATATTTTAGTTATCAAAATTATCATTGTTATATTTTGAATGATGAAATTAGGCATTTAATGATGAATACTATAATTTTGGGACAAATTTTTTTGTCTTAAGAAGTAAACATTTTTACCACCAATTTTTTTTTACCAACATTTAAAAATTTTGTCACTATAATTTTTTTTTTTTTTTTTTTTTTGACTTATAGCGAAGACGTTCGCGATAACAAGAATTGATATCTAAATATTTTTTATAATAATTTTTTTATGTTTATGAACAAAAAATTTAATCCCTAATATTTTTATATGTTGTAGTGAATCTCAAATGAAGATTAAAGTTTAAATTTCAGTAACTAATACAACTGCCAAATATATGGCCCTCCTGCCTTCAAACATTACCAATTGCAAACACCACACCACCTATCACCAAATTTTCTTTTGTCAACCAATAATAAACGTGAATCCTTCCAAAAAATAACCACCTTCACATTTTCATATAGGGTATATGGCAACATGTTATTAATAATATCGTGCCATGTTATCACTATTATGGTATTACGTATTCTAATAAAATAATTACATAAAAATTCTTATAAATGATGTTATAGATTTATATTAATTTATTTTAAATAAAATAACCTATTAAAATGGTTTAATGCTTAAAAAAAATAAAATAACACTATACAAACAAAACACATTAAAGATGAATTTATTTATAATAATAGTATTGTCACATTATTATTGTCAATTTTTTTTGTATGAATAGAATTTTCCAACAATTAAATATATGAGCATTACCAAAATGCAAAGACACCTGTTTGCACTAAAAAGACCATTGATGCTATAAATCTTTATGATTTCTGTTTTTTAAGTCACAAATCTTTAAGAACATCAACATAGATATTGATTTTTAATTAGAATCGAACTTGACAATTCAATCTTGCATTGTTGTGAAGGTAAAGCGTTCATGTTCGTGAGAGCCTCCCCAATCACCAAATTTATATTCTAAATCGTGCCACCAACTTTGCACAACATTTTATATTTTATTTGAACAAATAGATGTGAGAATATATATATGCTTACCAAAAACAGAAACATGTATTAAATAATACAAGAAAGATTGGGATAATGACCTTATAAAAGGCCATGGAAGCAACACAGAAGCAATCACCCAACTTGACATTTCCATTCCAAGCCTCTAAACTCAGGCATACACACCACAAAAGGGTCAATGGCTCTCACCACCTTCTCCCTCTCTCTCTGTATGTTACTCTTGTCACTTGTGGTTATGGTTTCTGCAAGTGGTTATGGGTATGCCCCAAAAGCTGAGCTTCAAAAACCTAAGAAGCAAGTAGAGCTACTCCCCTCCATAGCAGGCATTCAAGGGCTTATTTATTGTAAATCTGGTCCTAAACTAGTTCCACTTGAAGGTAATAATTTCTTCCTTTCTTGTTTTATGGACTCTCTCAATTGAAGGTAATTTCCATACATGATCATCATTTCTTTTTTCTGGTACAAAGGTATAAAAGATCATTATTAGTATTGTAACTATCATGCACTTCCTGTTATTGTGCCATATGCAACTCATTGTTTTTTATAACTATGGTGTAGGAGCTTTGGCAAGAATCACATGTCTAGCTGTTGACAAGAATGGGTATGAATCGGCTCCTTTCTCTGTTTTGAGTCAACCAACCGACGCCAAGGGGTACTTCTTTGCCACGGTGGCTCCTTATGAGCTTGAAGATGCATTGAAGATTACAGAGTGCAAGGCATTCCTCGAAAAATCTCCATTGGAGACTTGTAAAGTTCCAACTGATGTCAACAAAGGGATTAGCGGTGCTACTCTCACTTCTTACCATTTCCTCGCGGACAAGAACATCAAATTATACTCTGTTGGGCCTTTCTTTTATACTCCACAAACAAAACCAGTCTCTAAGGGTTATTAGATTGTTGAGATCAATCACAACATTTGATCAAACACCAAACCAATTTTTTTTTTTTTTTTTTTTTGAAACCTGCATTTGGAGATTTCTGATGAGTTTTTGTTCTATGTACCAATAAGTTTTGAGGGCATATGCAGTGTAGCCCTCTTGTTATGATATGTAATTCTTTGATTTTTAAACTTGAAGTTCTTAAAAAGACACTCTGAGATCATTTGATTTATAAGTATTCTTCTAGGTTTTTGAGATGAAAAAGAATTATTTTTATATGTTGTATGTTGAAGTAAATGTATACTTGGAAAACTACTTCCTCTTTCTGGATTTATAATTTGTCATCTAGTTAGGATGTTGTTTCATGTATAAAGTCTTCTTACATGTTACTATTTTAGTTTTCAAAACCAATCAAAAGAGCATAAAAACAGAGATGAAACAATAGTACAGAACCTTGGACCGGGTGGGGAATTACCCGTCACAAATAATACCATGTGCGACTATTTTTTGCTAGGGGAATTCACCGTCGCAAATATGTTATTTGCAACAAAGTCTATTTCAGTCACAAAAAGGTGCCTTTTAAGACTGAAAATGTCAAAAGTAAACCTTTGTACAAATTTTCACTCTCTTCCTTCTGAGTATCTTTACAGGTATATACTTAAACATTACTCCTCTCTATATACAATTCCAGAGACTTCCTCAAATTGGTGGCCGCTCGTTTATTTTGTCATAATTAATTACCTACAAATCTACTTCAAACCCATCTTTCAGAGGACAAAACTTCATACCCAAGCCTGCGTGGCCAGGTTAGGACCATTTCCAGGTGGAATATTTGATTAGCATTCTAGAAACGGTTGGTTTTCAATCGAGCTAGGCCAGCTGCAACCCGTGGACCATCCCAAAACACCAAAGATTAGATCCACGCGTGAACAAGCATTAACCTGAAAGGAAAAGCTTTCCAATCAAAAACAAAGCCGAGAGAGAGAGAGAGAAAAAGAGAGAAAAAAAAAAAAAAAAAGGCTTCAGAAAAGGAATCTTCTATTTGCACACTTCCCTTTTCCTCAATTTATACCATTTTTTTCGTTGGGATGTAACTACTGAACAAAAATCAATGGTTCAGAGGTCAACCGAAGAAAAACCCATAGTTTGAATATCAAGTAGTGAATCAAAGGTGTGGCTGAACCATGATTTTCGTAACGTAGTTGATATCCGAACAAAAAAAAAAAGGTTTGAACTGATAAAAAACATGTCTGAAAATAGAAGCTCCAACAGAGAAGCAAGTTTTTCGCACATACCAAACAGTCCAGGCTTCCTTCAACATGAAACAACATGACGGCCATCCCTCTCCCTTTATCTATCTCTGCCTGCCAAGAAAATACAGTTCATCATGGATACTGCACAGAGATCCTCAGTAATAAACACATATAGTCACAAATTTTTGAATACTGATCTCTTTCAATTACTCACCGCACAAGCACATATTGCAACATCTACAGTGGCCAATGCTGTTGTGATGTCAGCCATCATACCTGAAACATGTTTATGTACTTAAATATTGGCTAAAATTAGTAGATAAATACTGCTCTCTCATTTCTTCATCAGGGAAAAACAAAAGTCCCCAAATATTCAAAAACAAGAAAAACAAACTTCCCAAATGCAAACCTAATAGCAAGTAAAAAAGATGTGGTTACAAAATTGCCTCCCGCGATTTGCATGTCCACTAGCACCACTACTCCATTTGTATTTGAATCTCACAGAAAAAAAAAGGGATCACAAGAGATGTGTTATTACTAGTAATGAAAAGTGAAAAAAGGATTCACCTCTTCGATCTATGCATACTACACATAACCACTGTATAGAGTGCCCTTCAAGGTTGTGCCAAGATGCAACCTTGCCAGCTTGCCAACTCTCCAGACCAGGCAAGACTTCCTTGTACATGGGAATATTAGCAAGTATCATCTTAGCAACACCATTTCCCTGAGATAAACTCTCTCCTTTGGCCTTCAAACTCACATGCTGCATATGTTTATTATGTTTCCCATTGACCTTAGGGACCTTGATGCTGCCACGTTTGAGTTGGAAAACATCTCCACCATTGATCATTGAAGATGACATTTCCACAACGTTCATCAGGATCTTCTCCCAGGTGTATTTGCTTCCTTCAGAATAATCCGACAGCTCCTCTACTTCACTATCCTCCTTAGGATCGGCAACAAATTCTTCTACTGTATCAGCTGTTATTTCAGTTGCCGATAATGCAGCTTGCTCTCTCAAAAACTGAATACAACAAGAACCTTATATTAATAGAGTGGAGGACAAGGATATCTAAAGCACCAATAAATAAAATATATATTACAAAAAAAAAAATCTATACCACAGAAAACCTACTTTCATAATTTTGTATCTGGCACTACGTGTTTTAGCATGTTGCAACCACTGCTTATGTCTTTGGAATGCTGATTTGCTTGAGAGTGCCTAGAAATTGTGGAACTGACAATTAACAAATATTCAACCAGGTAAAATAAACAGTGGATAATCAAGCTTCATATAACTGCAAGTTACTCAAGAGAGTATGGATGGTGGACTATATCAAACAGTAGTAATGATGAGCTTAGAGCTCATGATTATCAGGATCACAAATTGCTCTATTTCCCATTGACCTTGGGGACCTTGACGCTGCCATGTTTGAGTTGGAAAACATCTCCACCATGTTTGAGTTGGAAAACATCTCCACTGTTCTTATAACTCAACAGCACCATACAAAGATAAGCAAAAATATCAAACAGTAGTAATGATGAGCTTAGAGCTCATGATTATCGTGATCACAATGCGATTGGTACAGAGCCACGGCAACTACGCTTAGAATTTTAGTTTAAGACTTAAATCGACAGAGTCCACTACCACGAGTTTTTGCATTGAAATTGAAATTTCTATTTTAGTTTTTTTTTTCTTTCTTATATACATATAAGAAGACTGCTGAACTTGTCAACATCTTATATTTTTGGTTACCTGAAGTGCTTTACTTAAGTATTAGAAGAAGTTTTCTTTATGTATTTCAAAAGTTACGAAACTTCTCTGAAACATTGCATCCTTTTTTTCAAGATTCATCAAACTTCAGAAGCTCATCCTTGCAGAAAAACTTTGAAGACTTTGTTATTTTATATAATATAGTAGTAACTCAAGAACCATACCATCTCTATAATCCCATCTGATGTCGATTTAAAACCACAAATTTTCATGAAGATCTGGGAGGAAAAAAAAATCAGATTATGCAGAACCATAACATCATACAGAAACCTAGTGAGCTTGGTTGAAGCAGAAGAGAGGAACCAATATCTCAACTTAAAAGAAAGGCAAAAAGGAAGGAACTGACTAAGCTCACATTATAAGTTATTATCTCCACAACTTCAGCATTTGCAAGTACATGCGAGGGAGTAACAAGATTACCATTGACCTGCAAAAAGATAAATCTCCTGTAGTGAGATGTGGAAATCTAAGAATAACAAGTCCACAGTTAAAAGTAAAAAAGAATACCTTTGCTGCAACCATTTTGTTGCCAATTTCAGTGTGTATCATATAAGCATAGTCAATGACAGTTGCCCCCTTGGGCAGATTTTTAATCTGTATGCAATGTGAAAGAGATCATTACAATATCAGTCAGCACAGATTTGTATGTGTAGCAATTGCAATCCATTCTCTTACCTCTCCTCTTGGTGAAAACACAAAGACACGGCTACCTAAAAGATCTCTGGTTATAGTTTCTACAAATTCTCTGGAGCTCATATTTCCAACAAATTCCTCTTGCCATTCTCTAATTGCATTAAGCCAACCAATCTGGAGGGAAGAAAGGACTTCTACCACAAGTCAGGTTATTTGAAGGAGTTTATCAGAAAATTCATTCAAGGAAGAGTGTTAAACTATCAAAATTTAGCAAGGATAAAGGTAAATTACCCTGAGGGCAATGTTTGCATTATTAAGACAAACAATTTTCCCTCTTGAACTTCTGCCCTTAGGCATTGCATGTCCAACCAATCCAGTCACAAGACCTTTCCCGCTATAATGAGCAGCAATGCCTCTCTCAGCTATCAGATCCATCTCTTCAGTTCTTATCTGTCAACCATTAAAAAAACCAAAATATAACTGAATATTGCAAGTAATGAAAAGGGAGAACCATTGAACTCAGATAGTGACAAATAAGAAGGATTTGACCTAAGCCACAGTCAAAAGAGAATAATGGCATAATTGGGAAAGAATAAAAATTCAGAAGTTGACCTGAACTTCCAGCCGAAACATGCTCTCATAAAGAAATGGAATTACAGTGGTATGAAGACTCTGATAACCATTGGGCTTTGGAGTTGCAATATAATCTTTCATCTGTTACAGAAAGCAAACCAATAAGCCTTGATAAATCAATTATTAATAAAAGCAGCAGTAGCCTTGAAATCAGAATATAGGAAAAGCAGGACACATACAGATCGAGGAATAGGAGTCCAAATTCCATGTACTAGCCCAAGAACATGGTAACAGATCTGCCAAAGGCACATTTATGAGAGAAAGCTATGTTGTATACCATCATAGTATGAGTCTCTTTTGCAGAAAACATGGCAATTATTTGACCATGCAAAATCTACCTGCTGTGCAGTACATAAAGGCCCAACTCCAATGCATGGCTTTGGTTTTATAATGATCCGAAGCTGGTAATCCAAACAAATTAAAGTGTCATGAAGCAAATAGGTAAGATTATGCCAATTAATTGTTCACAAGGATAAAATTACAGCAAACCTGTGCAATTTGGTTGACTTCATTTATTGAACCTTTAGATTTAAGTACGGCTTTATAAATACTGCAAATAAACCAAAAAAATTAGCATGCAATAGCTTGTCAGGGAAAGTTTCATCACAACAATTGCATGGGTATACAAATCAGTTAGCAGTCTGAACAAGTCATAAGAAATTAAAGTAGTTGTGAGCTCCATAGCTTCAATTCCAAAACACATAAGAAAAAAGAAGGTTCTTACTGTTACCTGTAAGGCTCCTTACAAGCAGATCGAACTTCAGTTTTCACTGTCATAAGGTCGAGGAACTGATCATCCTCAATCTTCTTCATTAAAATTTTGTTTGCCTAATACAATGAGAAGAGCTTGATAAGTGGACCAGACTCTTGAAAGCAATATTGGAGTTACTGTTAACCTCGAGAATTTAAATTATTCCAGCTATTAAATTTTAGACTGCTCATCATAGTTTAGAGGTGTCATGGGATAAAGGGTAAAAAGGTAATTATCCATTTCTAAAGTTTCATTAAAAAATTTCACGACAACAAACAAAAATATACCTCTATGAGTTCCTTCTCATGTTTCTTATAGAGTTCTGCAACTCTTCTCTTGGCTTTAGCATAATCTTGAGCATTTGAATACATGAACGATAAGTTTTCAAGTTCAGACTGCCAGAAGGTATTAGTAGATTAGCAAAATAGTGGGTGCAAAGAACCATAACTGCAATGATAGTGTAAAATAAAATCACACATAACAGGAGCATAGTTACAAAAATGACAGAAACATGACTGTGAAATAAAGCATCTCAGAGTAAAAGCAGTTTCCAATTTTGGAGATCTTTAGATGGCTGATTACTTGGCAGGCTGGTACATCACAAGATTAATTTTAATAAAAGCTGGATTCACAATCTATGATGATGTATCATCAAATAAAGGTCAAGGAACAAGATCAAGCATCATAAACCCAATGTTGCAACATCAGACTTCAATAAAATAAATAGAAAATAAATGAAGCACATAGGAAACCTGCCAAGTTGAGATATTTATTATCAACAGTAGACATACATCTGGGGTTTTAACTTCAACATTGTCTAGCTTGGTCATGGAGAAAACGTATGGTGAAAATTCAACACAACGACACAAGAATACATTATGAATCATTGAATTCAAATGTAAGCCTAAAAAACAATCATGTGGGAAGAGGAACTTTAATTTTTGTTTTTCAGAAGTAAATAAATTATCCATAAGATGCACCAAGACGAAATAGAGACGATATATACCAAAAATTTTGGGTTCAGCATCAACATATAAAATCCGGAATGGTTGTTGGAATTCGAAGGCACATTTACGAGTTAAAATATCAACTCAAGCAGATGGGAATACCTTAATTTGGTACATTCCAAGCAGTTTTGCTAGAGGGGCAAAAACTTGCAACGTCTCCATTGCAATGCTGGACTGGACAGAATAAATAATGTTAAGAAAAATAATAACAAAAATAATGGTAAAAACTCGAGTCAATAACAAATCAAAATTCACCACCTGCTTATGCGGAGGCATATGTGAGAGAGTGCGCATATTATGCAATCTGTCAGCCAATTTGACGATGATAACACGGACCTGAAAAGCAACTATTTTAATTTCCTATTGGCTTTCAGCATTTTAACATGATCATTGATGAAAAATACGAGTGTCACCTCCTCGGTCATGGCTAGAAACATCTGCCGGAGGTCTTCCGCTTTCACATCTTGTACTGAATGGTTTTCATTCTTGATTTTTCCTAGTTTGGACACCTAGATTACATGAGAATTAAACCAATGAATGTCATCTCCTAACCAAAACTAATCCCAACTTAACATTTGACTACAAAAGAAAACATGTTCCATTAGTAATTATCTAATAATAATAACATAAAAGAAAAAAGAAACAAAAGGACCTTAGTTTCTCCTTCTACAATGTGGCGCACTGTAGGACCAAATTCCATCTCTATTCTTTCAAATGTGACAACATTTGTATCCTCAACTGTATCATGTAATAAACCAGCAGCAATTGACTCCCAATCCAACTCCTAGAAAATAGTTAGTAGTTAATTAAAGTTTCTGCTCACAATAAAGAGAGACATAGAACTGCAAGGTAAATACTTCCTAAAAAAAAAAGAATGCTTCAGAATTTTCCACAACTCACAAGCTCTCCCAAAATTCGTGCAACTTCAACAGGATGAATGATGAAGGGCTCTCCACTCCGTCTTTTTTGACCATCATGTGCCTCAAAAGCTAGCTGTAAGACCAACAAACCCACACACAAAAGAGAAAAGAAAAGCAAAAACAAAAAACATATACATGTTAGGATATCAACACTACCCCACGGAGAATAGTTCATAACAAATGGGTCTCATATCAGAGCAAGCCAATATGTGGTCAAATACTACATTATCATCAAAAGAAGTTCAATCTACTAAAAAGATGAAGGGTTGAAAAAGAAGTATAGAGTTCAAATGGAGAATAATACAGAAGACTTACAATTAAAGCACTGCGCACCAACTCCAACTCCTTAGGGGGAAGATATGAAATAGTATGTTTAAGATCCTGAGGCAATAAAAAAACAATAAAGAAATTGACATTAATATGGCACAACATTCCGTGATAAAAAAGAAAGCCTGAATAAAATATGATTTTATGAGAGAACTAAAACTTTTCACATAATAAAATAATACACGAGGTGAAAGTTGCTTTCACCCAATATCTGGATAGATTCTACAAGTTGCAGCGCATTTCTTTACAAATATACCATCCTCAAAATCCAGCACTTTTTAAAAAAGAAAAAGAGGACCCAACACATACTAATGCAAAATTCAACCTTGATGTTACAAAATAAATCAAATCCATAATCTTTTTGCTATTCTTTTACTTCAAAACTCTTATGATTTCACCCTAACAAACTTCAATGTCACTGACAATAAATATTTTTCCCATACCATGTTCCATTTGCCACCCTTTTTATCAGTTGATTAAAAATTTAGGATCCATTACCACAATATTTTGCCTTACAACTACTTTACATTCCAAACTGAAAATGAATCAAATTATTTATCCATGCTTCTCTTGCTTCCTGCCCCAATCTCAATCTCCAAACTCCACAACTGTCAAATTCCAATTATTTCCCTGCCTTCAATGGATCAGTACTAGTATAAGTTGTAAAATCTGGGAAGTTCAATAAGTGGTTCAAGACTGGTCCCACCTCACTAAATCAATCATAAGGTTACTAGGTATCCTACAAAAAGTTGGGTCAAGAAAAGGCTCATCGTATACCTTATCTCCCACATAAACTTGAACCAATCAGGCAAAATTCAATGCAGAAATAGTTCTGGGGTTTCCCAAACAGTCCATTAACTATCTTTTTTATTTTATTTTATTAATGTTATCATTTTCACCATGAAGGTTGTAATTTGGCATGATGGAAAGTGCTATCAGCCTCCAGCCTTCATGGTGTGGGTTTCAAGTCGCTGGAATAAAACGGAGTGAAGGGTAAGTGTCTACCAACTACCTCTCCCAGACCATGTTGTAACTTGTAAGGCTTCATAAGTAAAGAGCCTTGTGTACTAGGTATGGCCTTTATCATTTTCACCAACAGATGCCCCAATGAAATAGCATAGCTTGTACTAGATTCATTTTAAGTTTGGTGGTGGCATGATTAAAGCTCAAGATGAGTGCAGGTATGGAGCGAATCCCACTAAAGATTATTGAGCAACATGAGCTATCAACAATTAGTTGTAGCTTCTGATTCAATCATCATAAATAAAAGTGCAGGTTTTTATCCGTCACAAACTCTCTCTACTATAGGCCAGAATGTTTGTTGAAGAATGCTATCAGACATTTATCTACAACAAAACTATAGAACTCTGGTAAGAATTTATATAGATAGGTCTCAGAAACAAGAACCTTAGCACATATTATAGTAGGGTAAACTCACAGAAGAAATTATAGAGTCATAATCCATGCAAGGGGATTTGTGACTATTCAAACAGTCAATGATCAGAAAAATAATAATACTAGTAAAGCAACAGTTAACGTACCTCCCACAAACTTTCAGGAGAAACCTCATCATAGGATGTTGAAGAAGAGGATGAAGAACAACACAATTGCCATTTTCTACAAGCAACATGCAACAAACTTGATCTTAAAAGTCTTCCTGGAAGTACAAACTCAGAAGGTTCAGTGGAGCACCAGCTCCCCATACGAGATGCTTCACATATCTGGCACAAATAAAAAGATTCAATATCAATTTAATAGAATCAGTAACAAGCCATGTTTTTAAACAGAAACCAATTAATCAGTATTTAAGGGAAAATACAACTCAAATCTGTAAAGATGTGAATACTATCAGAACATGCCATGATGTTCTATGAGAAAAAAAAAAAAAAAATTGATGCCAGTCCCATAGGGTGCACAACATCTGATTACTACTCAATCCACTATTAACCATTATACAGTCCAGAGGGACGACTGACATTCCAAATTTTTCGCTGAACTTATTTATTAACTTTTAATTTTGTATCCACGTACATTATTCAGAGACTTCCCACACAACTAACAAAATTTCTAACCCTGCCCCAAATCTGACATCAATTTAAACAATTTTTAATTTCAAATTTTCAGAAAACAATAGTAAGGCTGTACTAGCAGAATAGATACAATACAAGAGGGAAAAAGATTTATTTACCAGAAGAAAAGCAAAATGTAGTAGTATAAATTTCTGTGCAATGTCCTGAGATCAGGGTACCAGAAAACAAGGACTGAGGTAGTCAATTAGCTGGACCCCTTTAATCTATTCAGAGGTTACTAGTGATAGCATCGACACTCAATCCAATTCCGCCAACATAAAGGCCAAATATATGTAGCAGCTTCCATGGGACAGAATTATTCCTAATAAGGTCACATTGGCTTGTATTTACAACAAGGTTTGTTTAAGAATCTTAGCTAATTTGCTTTGAAGACACACACACTTGTACGTAGATTTTGAAAATAGAATTAGCTATAGCCATGCGCCGCAAACATTAACTAGGTGCACAAGTTCAAAACCAGCGAGATTTTGGTGTAAGCATCTCTAACCGTTACTTTGACACGAACATAAATTGAAGTAGAAGGGTATTAAAATCTCCTCCGCTCCTTTACTCAAAGTTACAGTTAAATTTTACTTAATTTTTTTCCTAAAATTAAGGGAGATCCATTTTCTTTATTCAAATTTCTATCCAATCAAAACTTGACACTAGGGCACTTGTGTCCAAACTTTCCACTAATCCAATCCATAGCTTCCCCTCAAACTTGACAGCTAACAATTTTACTCAAATTTGAGTTTATCAATTGGAGTGTTTCATATAAAATAAAGCTTTTTACTCAAACTTCTACTCAATTGATTAAAACTATCAAAATTCTAAGTGGCCTTACAAGTTCAAGCTTCAAACTTACACATTTGATGTGATTCCTTCTTCCAGTTCGTCCATAGGGCGAGAGCGAACAGTGCGGATGAGCAGTACTCGCAAGAAATCCAGTCAATGCCCTGGGAGCCTTCCACGCGCAAGAGAGTACACTACAGTCGTATCTACCACTCCCATCCCCTTTCGAAAACTTACATATATTTACACATTCCACAGAAACTGCAAAAAAATTCACATGTCAAAGACTCGAAATCATGAAAGCAGAATACAAAAATCGAAGACGAAAACTGAGAGACGTACCTGACATTGAAGGAGCAGAAGCCATCTCTACTGCGAAGCATTGGAACAGAGCAAGCTCATTGAAATGAAGTAAGCATTGAACAACGAAGAAAACAGTGAAGAATACGAATCAAACAAACCGAATTGAAAGCTCGCAGTGATTATTAGAACCAAAAACATATACAAAACTATAATTGCAGTAAAGAATCAAAAGATTCTGATTCGGCTTTCAAGTGGAGAAGCGGTAGGCTTGTATGTGAGGCTTTGAATTTCGGACAAATTGGAGTATCGGGGATATGCGAAGGGTTAGCAAGCGATGAATTGAACGAAGATGAAGATGATGAGATAATCTAGAGAGAGAGAGAGAGAGAGGTAAGTTTAGCGAAGGCCACACAAACGCCGTATGATAAAGATCTTTTGTTTCTTTTTCTTCTCATTTGAATATTTATAGGTGAAAATTTTGTGAGGTAGTTTTGGTTGGACCATGTTAGCGTAATGGGGGAGTGAATAGAATTGTATGCAATCAACGTCAGGCGACCACACGATGGCACCCAATTTTGAAAAATTACACATTTGCCATTACTCTTTTTTTTTTCTTTTTCTTTTTAAAAAAAAAACCTCAGAATTTACAATACAATAAAATAAATCTTGAATTTTTAAGTGTGTCAATTTAAATATTAATTTTTTGGTTTATTTTTTTATTTAAATCATCAGTTCATTTCGTTAAGTAAAAACGACAAAAAAAAAATAAAAAATTTAAATTATTAAACTCAATGTAGATGTACATAAAATGTTGAAAATATTTTTTTCATTGAGTTAATGACTAAAATATATATTTTTTAGTCAATTTTACTTAACAGAAATAGACAAATTATTTTTATCGAAAACAAATAAAAAATTTAGATTTTAAATTGATAAAATTAAAATTTTATTTTGTTATAAGAGTCAAATCTTGAATTTTTATTTTTTATTTTTATAATTTCTTCTTTTCTTTTTTTTCTTCTTAATCATGTTATAGTTACTAAAATTTTATATTAAAATTAGTTTATTTTGTTATCTGACATGACATTTTATATGTCATTCATGAGTACATAACAAATGAAATTAATTTCTCTAATATAATTATAACAAATCATTTAATATTATGTATAAAAATTTAGTCTATTATTTTCTTAAAAAATTCATCAATATCATTGCAAATTGTAACACTCCAAATATGATGTAAGTGTACTTTTTATATAGTATATAAAAGCTTTTGGGAAACTATTTTTTTCCAAAATTTTTGCCTCAGGTGCATCTCATCCTGGTGAGGTCATGATTAAAAAGTTAAAATAAAAACATATTGCTAATTTCACCTAATATGGAGTGGCATTAGCACTATCCGCTAATTTTGTGAGGCAAACTCACCTCCCAAGAGTTCACAAGGAACCTTAAATTTACAATAAAAAGATTTACAAGAAAATAATAATATATAAATAGCTGATTTATGCATAAATTTTATATAAAACTATATGATTTAATGTGATTCATTTATTTTGTATCACTTCCGCATTATTCTTGTAACAAATTCTTTATAAACCAATAAAGACCTAATTTGACACAAAACTAACACAAATGGCTTTGAAAGCATTAGCTGTGTTTGTTAGGATGTCGCACTGTCATATTGTATACAAGGGGCTTATGTATTGTGGATTATTATCTATCATACGGCAACAAGTTTTCCTTCACCGTCCTTCTCCTTCACCAACCTCCAACACACACACACATATATAATTAATACTTTAGTGAATTTGATGTCATAATGGTAGGGATAGCAATTTGAACCCGGTCCGACGGGAAATCTGGACCGCCCCGTCCCAATAAGACAGTGGGAAGCTTTGTTAGTTCAGAAAATGGGAACCTTTAGATTGAGAAAAAAAATTCTAAAAAGAAAACCAAATAGAGCTTTGTTAGTTCACTAAATACAATGTGAAGCTTTCTTACCTTCACCAACCTCCAACACACACACACATATATAATTAATACTTTAGTGAATTTGATGTCATAATGGTAGGGATAGCAATTTGAACCCGGTCCGATTTGAACTCTAGACCGCCCCGTCCCAATAAGACAGTGGGAAGCTTTGTTAGTTCAGAAAATGGGAAGCTTCAGATTCAGAAAAAAAATTCTAAAAAGAAAACCAAATAGAGCTTTGTTAGTTCACTAAATACAATGTGAAGCTTTCTTACCTCCAAAAAATTTCCTTGTCCAGAGTCAGCTTCTCAATGGCAGGTAGAAATGAATTTTTTTTTTTTTTGTTTTTTGGGGGGGGCCAGGGAATTTTCTCAATTGATTAAAACTATCAAAATTCTAAGTGGCCTTACAAGTTCAAGCTTCAAACTTACACATTTGATGTGATTCGGACGGGGGGATTTTCACCATCGGGGACGGGGAGTGTGATCCCCAGCCCCGTCCCGCCCCGCCCCGTTGCCATTCCTACATAATTGTGGTGACAACTGTGGTGATAGTGGTAGGAAAATGATGGTAGCGATAGTGACAATATTAATGTTGGTGGTAGGGTGTTAGTATTAGTAAGATTTTAATCCAAAATGTATTTTTATACTTTTTAGAAATAGAAAATGCTTTTTGTTTAAGTAAATTTTATTTTTCATTGATTACGGGAATTATTTTTTGAAAAATGCTTTCCAAATTAAATGGAGTGTAAGATTCGACCCTAAGAAAGAAACATATAGCTTCATTGTCATCTTGTAATAATCTCAACTGGGCTGCTACAACAGGAGGAATATACTTCTATATATACCCCTCCCTCTCTAAAGGAAGCACCTTCTTGTTACTTGATGTTTGGAAATGTGTAATGAAAATGCAAGTTACCAAATGTTCAAAACGACTTATCCAATGTGTGTGGTTGTAAGGGGGGAAACCGAATGAGTCGTCACGGTATCAAAGTCATTTTCTACTCCTTCAACATAACAAAATGCAAAGCTGGCAATGAGTATCAGACTTTGATATAAACGAAAATTCAACATTCACATCTGCTAATTCAATGCATCATTTGACTAGGAACGTACGGGCCGACCCTGAGTTTTCAGGGGCTTAAGGCGAAATCAAAAAAAGAGGCCTATATTCATAAATAAATAAATAAATAAACACCTTGTTTGATATCACTACCGGTGGTTGATACTAAAATATATATCAACATGTATTCATTTTAGAGTACAAACCAAAAAAAAATTACCATAAGGTATAGTTCAAATCAACAAAACAAATTAATTAATTAACAAATTTAATTAATGAAATGTTCTGGTAGTGTGAAGCAAACAAATCTACTTGTTTCTTGCTACCAAAATATTTATCAAGTGCTTCCGATTGAGATTGAATTAATTATTCTACTTACAACTTCTTCTTTCTCTTTTTATTTCAAGAACTATACTTACTAGGAAACATGACTATAATCACAATTCAATTCACAAATCACAATTCATTGATTATTTCATATCTGATAGTAAAGAAAATATAAAAAAATAATTTAATCAAACAAAACTAGGGCAAAAAAATTAGGTAAAAATTATTTAGAGGTATTTATGAGTAGGTCTTAATAAGTAGATTTATTGTCTAATAGGTCCTATAAAAAAAATTTGTCATAAAAAAAGTCACTAATTGTAAGTTTTAGCGACAATTTATAAAAATCATGACAAAAAAGTCATTAATTGTCAATATTTAGCGACATACAAAAAATTGTCACAAAAAAAATTATTTTTAGTGACAATTTTACTAAGACTTATTTTTATTAGGACTTGATGGGAATTAAGTCAAACTATTAGCACCTATTAGTAGTTTACCCAATTATTTATTCTACTAAAATTTGATAAATAAATAAGGTAAAAAAATTAGGACAAATTTATTATTCCACTAAAATCTGATAAAGAAAGAAGGTAGAAAAAAATTAAGATAAATTTATTTATTTCATTAAAATCTGATAGTAAGAGGGAGAGGGAGAGGGAGAGAGAGGGGACTTCCTGTGAGAGAGAGTGAGTGAGTCGCCGCTGTTGATATTTTTCAATCAATTTCTACCATTGCTTATTGCTCTGCTTATACTTGGTATGCTTCCTTTCTTTCGTCACTTTGTGTGTGAGAGAGAGATTGAGAACTTGTATGTATTATTCTTCTCCCTGGGCCATCAACACTTTCTGTAGATATTTTAATTTTAATTGGGCCAAATCACACTTATAAATAAATATGGTCCAACAGAATATTTTTGGGCTTTTTGAATTGGCCCTAAAATAACAAAAATAATTTGGGCAAATTTAAATTTATAATATACTATAATACATTACTAAATTTGGGATCCCTATTTTGGGCCTAAGACACAGGCCTTAGTAGCCTTAGCCCAGGGCCGGTACTGTTAGCATATATATCAAACTTTGGTTGTGATAGTATTTTTTGTATTTTTGTCATTGTCAGTTAATTGTCTTTAAGGGAGATGCATACCTCTACCGTGTCTCTTGTAACATTTTTTTATCATAAATTTTGAAAAAATTACATAAATTTTGTGTGTGTGTGTGTGTGTTTTTTTTTTAATTTTATATATGCATGTAATTTATTATTCTTGTGTACTTCTTACTGATATTAAGAGCACTAGCCTTTATTGGGGTTTAAGATTGAAACAAAACAAGTCAATACATGCCTATATGCAACCATTGTTAGGAGGTTTCCATTGTTTCTATCGAATCAATGGAAGTGGTTCTCAAAGTCACTACGCTCTCTCTGCATTTGATTTGTATGCACTTGTTAGAAGAGAAATAACAGGGTCCAAGATTGATTTAAATTTGGAGTGTTCTAAGATTGTATTTGGATCAAGATATTTGAATATAGGGGGAATAGAAAAGTTAACTACTATTTCATTAACTTTTCTTCTTATTTTTATTTTTTTCTTCACGTATTTGTACTCAAACTTCTAATTCAAACACAATCTAAATGTGTCAAACCATTGTATCCATAACATGATCAAACTTGGCTTTAATTTAATGAGTGCTTAAATGTGCCAAGCCATTGTATCCATATCATTTTTAGATAGAATTTGCAACTTAAAATGGCCTATATATAGCATAAAATGAGCCAAGTAAGGATACATATAACGAATGCGAAAATAATTTCCTTCATTATGTTTCGACTGTTTCCAATTCAATCCTTTAGAGCATCTCCCCCTAAATCTTCAAAAATTGATATGGCAATTTTTTTTAAAATGGTAAATTGACATGCAAATTTGACATCTCTAAAAAGAAACACTCCACACAATATACTAATTTTATTGTTTTATTATATTTGTACTTTAGCCATGTCAAATTCACGAAACATTTGGCTATTTGGTTGGAGCTTGTTGAAGTCTCAATTTTTGCCTTTTAAAGTGTCAAGTAAGATTTGAAGTATCGGTTGAAGATGCTTCTATTGTGCTTATAACTCGCCGTCAACTTGCGTGATGTGACAAAATATAGATTTGACTCTCTATTTGTATTTGGATCTATTTTAACCAAGTTCGATATCGTTCGAATCTTAAGTATATTGGGTTATTTTAGGATTTTAAGATTAACCACACAGATCCTTTGAATGCTCCTATTTTCGTTTGGTTGTTTATTGTTTCTTAATTTCTGGTTCCATCATAACATATACTCATAGAAACACAAAAAGCCAATTAAAAATTGTAATAGTACACCAAGTCAAGCCAGACTTCATCTTTCATGTGCAGTGCTCATACAATAATTCTAGGTAGCATGAAAACTCAATCATAATTTCACTATAAAAGCGAAGTATAGAGTGTAGAGTTAAAGTTAGCGTACTGTGAGCCATATATAAAATAAATCCTTTTCAAATATTTAAATTATGAGTAATTTTTTTGAATATGAAGCACAACTGGTATTTATATATATTCATGACGAAGAAGAAAAGGAGAACAAGATGATGATATGAAGATTTTCCTGACATGACAACAAACATAGTAGTTTATTGCCATAGAAAATTATCTAATCAGTACTATTTCAAAGAAAGCAAATATCTGGCTAGCCAGTTAAAAAAAGAATTAGGAGAGATCCCAAAGATATTCCCTTCTTCTATACATCTATATTTCCTTATTTTTAATTTTTTTTTCTGCACGTTTTTTTGGGTACCACACCTAAGCTATTCTGAAAGTGACAACTCTGAGGTTAAATTACACACAAGTCTACCAATTGATGAGCCACTAAAGTCCATATTTGGGCTGCCTTCTGATGAAGGGGATAATTGCATAGCACATGAAGTTTCTCCCTTGAGAACTGAAATTATCTGCAAATACATGAAACTGATATGGTAAGTCATAATGAAACTAAAGGGCTAGCAGGAGTAGTAGGGCTGCAAACGAGTCGAGTTTTAGGGTATTCAAGCCTACTTGAGCTTGACTCGATTACTAAATAAATGAGTTTAAAATTTCAGCTTAAGCTTGTATATTTTGCAATGAGCTGAGTTTGAACTGCTAATGAACCATTCAACTCGTTTGTAGCCCTAAATAGTACCAAATATTTTTTTAACCATGCTGCATCACCTCGCTCATACTAGGTCGTGAAATAGGCTTAGTATTTATGCACTGAGATGCAACACACATCACTCTAAATATTCCGTACACGTCCAGGTCTTCCATGTCTTCGTCTAGCAACTTATGGAATGCTCTTTGTAGCAACAATGGTCGAGCCTGCGATAACGGTAAGTATTTTGAGAACAAACTTCTAATTGCAGTATAGAAATGAGAACTATAATGAAATATAGAAAAAAATTGTCGACTAACCCAATCTACAAAAATTTTGTCATCTCGCGGAGCAGATCTTCTGCAAAAGAGCCTTAGGAGTAGAATTCCAAAGTGAATCATATCGAATTTTAATAAAGCCAATGATTCATGGTCTGAAGGATCTGTGTGCCAGAACCTTTTTAACATACAGTCAAATTTCACATTAGAAACTCAGCATTATTATTGTTTTTTGTTCTTTTACTCGTTGCTATGTCAAATGAAATTTCAAAAATTTTCTGGAATTGGTATAAATGCAAACCTGTTACTGGAAATTGGTAACCCTTGTTTTAGATGCAGCCATGTAGCATTACCAAAGCCAGTGATCTATTACAACCACACACACAAACACACACACACATACACAAAGGTGAGGGAAAGAAGAAAACAAATGAAATGAGATTGAAAGACCTTGGATTTTGAACTAATAAACAATTGTACCCATGATAGTTCTCTTATGTTTTTATTTTTCTCTGTTTTTTGCACTAGGTGTTTCAAATTTTAACAATTTTTACCTGCGGCTCTAAGTCAAAATTCAGAAAAATGTTGCACGGCCTTAAGTCACCATGAACAATGGGGCCTCGAGGACATTCTTCATGCATGTAACGAACACCTTCACCGATTCCTATTGCTATCTTTATTTTCTCTTGAAATGTCATCTTGGTTCGTTGTTTTCCCTTTGAGTCTGTTCAAGAAAAGATCAGTAAGTACACATCATGGATGATCTCTAGACAAAAATCAACAGAGAATGCTTTTCTTTCATGCTAGAATGCTTTGATTACGATATGAATACAACTTAATATGAGAACAACAAGCCTAGGTGCACATAATTGGTGCACGGACTACTGCACAAGAAAGGGTATATGCCCAAAATTAGTGCAAACAAAGACAAGGGTGTGTGGGACTCACGTATTCTCTGTTTCTGTGCATCAACATCATTGTCTCTGTTTCTGTGCATCAACATCATTGTCTCTGTTTTGTGCAATCAACATCATTGTCTCTGTTTCTGTGCATCAACATCATTGTCTCTGTTTCTGTGCATCAACATCATTGTCTCTGTTTCTGTGCATCAACATCATTGTCTCTGTTTCTGTGCATCAACATCATTGTCTCTGTTTCTGTGCATCAACATCATTGTCTCTGTTTCTGTGCATCAACATCATTGTCTCTGTTTCTGTGCATCAACATCATTGTCTCTGTTTCTGTGCATCAACATCATTGTCTCTGTTTCTGTGCATCAACATCATTGTCTCTGTTTCTGTGCATCAACATCATTGTCTCTGTTTCTGTGCATCAACATCATTGTCTCTGTTTCTGTGCATCAACATCATTGTCTCTGTTTCTGTGCATCAACATCATTGTCTCTGTTTCTGTGCATCAACATCATTGTCTCTGTTTCTGTGCATCAACATCATTGTCTCTGTTTCTGTGCATCAACATCATTGTCTCTGTTTCTGTGCATCAACATCATTGTCTCTGTTTCTGTGCATCAACATCATTGTCTCTGTTTCTGTGCATCAACATCATTGTCTCAAATCAACAGAGAATGCTTTTCTTTCATGCTAGAATGCTGTGATTACGATATGAATACAACTTAATATGAGAACAACAAGCCTAGGTGCACATAATTGGTGCATGGACTACTGCACAAGAAACGATATATGCACAAAATTAGTGCAAACAAAGACAAGGGTGTGTGGGACTCACGTATTCTCTGTTTCTGTGCATCAACATCATTGTCTCTGTTTTGTGCACCAATTTTGTGCATATATGAATGGACTAGTGAACAAAACTAGGTTCGCATAATTGGTACATAGAGCAGGGACAATAATAATACATGCACAAAATTAGTTCACAGAACAGATTCATAGGAGAACGTGCACAGAAAAGAGACAATGATGCATAGAACATAGACAAGGATATGTGCACAAAATTAGAGCACAGAAAAGAGGCACAAGTGACTTCTGTGCATTAATTCTATGCACGTAGCAAAGTTGATATAATAATTTGTTAAGATCGTTTGATATGATTTTCATAAAAAGATGAACCAAGTCATCAACAAACTTACCATGGAGAAATCTATCTAGTGTCCATCTTCGGGTAAAAGGGTAGACAAGAACTGTACCATTTTTGCCCTTGTAGTAACCACTCAACCCCAATATATTCTTATGATGCATAAACAAAGCTGCTTTCTTTTCTGCTTTAAGAACACAATCCAACTGCCCAGTGAATCTTCTTACCAAAACTTGGGAGTGATGGTCACTCAAATACCCACAATATGTCTTAAAATTCTCATTCTCATCAAAACACGTCATTCTTGTGAATCCACCTGTTATTTCTTTCACCATTTCCCAGCTCAGTTGCAACGGCATTCTCATCACAAGATTGACCTCAGAAAATCCCACGGATGAAATATTATGATCATCGCTTAAGGTCTTGTTTTTGCTTGATGACTCGAACATTATTGGATGATTTTCACCTTGTTTGCTTGTACTAGCATGATATGGAAGGAAGGGTTGAGATTTGGTTTTAGGATTTGGAAAGTTGAAATGAAAATGGGACTCATGTGGTGAGATTAATCCTTTATCATCAGATTGCTTTGAAGATGAGGTTTCTGATACTCTTAGAGGCAAGGTCTTGTGTGCTACAATGTCCCCATCACCACTCACCAAAGTCACATTGTATTGGATTTGACAGAGTTGGAAACTTTGGTCCCTAGCAAAGCACCTGCAATGAAAGAAAATTTTCTAAAGAACAAGGCAAATTACACTTGTCAAGTAAAAGCAATCCTATGCATAATCTTATTTCTTACCTCTTTTCAAGTAAAAGCAATGGGTTCACATTCATAAATACATATGAGACCGCTCACTTATGTCTTAGAGTTATAAAATTTAAAAATAAAAAAAAAAATTAAATGTAACATTTTCTATCAAGTAATTTCAAATAAAAATTTAACAAGTGACAAGTAATTTTAAGGGTAAATTACACCGACACCCCCTTGAGGTTCGCTCTTAAAACAGATACCTCCTCATATTCTGGAAGTTACATTGCACCCCTTGTCAAATCATATCTCTTAACGAAAGTAACAAAAAATATAAAAGGACCTTAATGTCCTTTCAATAGATTTATGAAAGTACCATATTACCCTCTTCTCTCCCTAAGCCAACCCAACCATGTTAACCATTGTTGCTGCATTTCACCACTCACCATCATCCAACCAACAATTATCAATTGTCACAGTCCACCACCCCATCATCACAGCCATCATCTCTCACCCATCAATACTTGCAGACAAATTATCAAACACTTTTACCTAAGAAAAAACCACTAGTGATTGGTTTATTCAGTGTCATTGGTGTCCTATTGTGAAACAGAGCATGCATTGAAACTTTAATTTAATGTATTAATTACATTACCAAATCATCCAAAAGTCTTCATTATTTGAGTCCACCAGTTTAGATTGCATTACCACCCTCAATTAGATCGTGTAACTCCATTGATGAGCTTGTGCTGCAACTACCCACTGACCTAGGAGTTTGCGAGCTCAACTTTGAATTTCATGTGTGCTTCCTCTTGTTTCTTCTCCAGCATCATTTAGAACCGTTAGGTTACTTAACAGAATGGGAAAAACTGTAATGGGAATTGAAACCTCAGGGGTGTAGTGTAATTTTTCAAAAGAAAAAAGTTACACACACAAATGGGAATACTAATAGTGTACTAACGGATAATGTTATATAATTTTAGAAACTTTATGTCTTTATTGTTTGTATAATGGGTAGGGTTTATAGTTTTGAAGTAACAATGTCATAGTATATATTGATACAATAATTGATATATCAATTAGTGCATGTAACACTATCGTTTTAAAAAATGCCGACGGGAAATCTGTATTGATTTATGTGATCTGCTGACTAAGTAAAGCGATTAACATTTTTCTAAATAAGTTCTATTTATTTATTGTCTAATGAAACAATTTTCACTTTTTGTAAATTACATCAATAATCTTTATATTTTAACTCTTGTATTATTTTGGTCTCAATACTTTCAATTGATTCAATTATGACTCTTAATTTTAAATTTGAAATAAATTTGATTTAATTAATAATGCTAAACCAATTAAAATAGAGATAGAATTATAAATTCAAAATCAAAATTAAATTAATTAAAATTATTTAAAAAAATAACACAAAAACGAAAGTATAAAAACTATGAATGTAATTTAAATATAAAAAAATCACTTTCTCCTTCGTAGAGAGAGAGAGAGAGAGAGAGAGAGAGAGAGAGAGAACCTATCCATAACAATCAAAGTGGCGTCAACATAGTTTGCCTCATCCACTAGTAAGGCCTTTGGTTCGAAGATGGTGACTATCTTCACCTGAAACTTCACCTGTCCAAAAAATCAAGGCAACTAGCTGTGATGGATGCTAAAAATTATATACTGGTTTCAGTTTTTAAAATTTTGTAACTGTATAACACCTTAGTTAGTGAAAAGAATTTATAACATTTAATAGTTTGTATAATATTTATAAAATTAAAAAAATAAAAAAAAAAACACTCTCAAAAAATTTCAAGTTGAAAACAATTCTATACAAAACATATGGAGAGTAGGAATGGCATCCCCCTCCTTGTTTCGCAGGGATTTTCCTGCCTCGATAAGAAGCGGGAAGGGGATAGAATTTGCTTCTCCCACCCGGCTTCAATTATTTTAAAAAATACCTTTAATATCTATATATAATTTAATTTGTTAAATATAATATAATTAAAACACCAAAATATATACATCTCTTATTTATTTTAACTCTTATATTTCATCAATAGCTGCCATCATAAGCCATATAATTTCTTTCATTTAGATTCATTTCCTACTAAATGTTACAAATTACTTCTCATCTCTCCACCCTGCCACCTCATCGTAAGCGATAGGAGTCGGAGAGGATGTTCCTTCCAAGTGCATAGTAAGATTAATTTTTGCTCTAAAATGAGAAGAGCTTCTGCTATGAACACAAAAACTAAACACATAAAATAATATGTAACCTATATGAATGGATATAAAATCTTTTTACTTTTATTTTTATTTTTTTTATCTATCCATCCATACAGTCTATTTTGATTTTTTTGATTTTTATATTTACAGACTTACAAACATTAAGGTGAAATTTTAACTGGATATTTAGAGTACTAGTATTGCCTCTTACACCATTGGTTTTGCATATATCATAGTAAGGTCTGAAGATGTTGTAACTGGATATTTAGAGTACTAGTATTGCCTCTTACACCATTGGTTTTGCATATATCATAGTAAGGTCTGAAGATGTTGGCAAAAGCTTCCTTTCTTTGACACATCTCTTCTTGGAGAAACTTAATGTAAGAATCTTCTCCTCCTTCACTTGAAAATTGCTCATCAAATCCTTGTTCATCTCCCATGCAATAACAGCCTCCTTTTACTTCATTACATTCTGAATTGTGTACAGCAAGAATCACCAGAAGTTCATCCCTCGGCCCAACCACCTCGCGCAGAGCATACCTTAGCGGTGCAACCCCTCTCTTCTCTGTGGAAGCCTTGATTCCATCCAATACTACAATCACACGCTGTCTACAATCTCTCTCTTTCTTCATTATCATTTTTGTATTCACTTTCACATACCTCACTTTCTCATAGTGCTTATAAGGCCCTTATGTGCATTTTTTTTATAGGGAGGCCTTGTTTCTTAGCTTTGTCTTCACCGTCCTCCTCTGTTTTTTAGCTACCATTCTTTGCTTCTCAGAAATAACCACTTTGTTAATAACATTTTTGATCTCAAAATGCTTTAATTTAGTCTGCCAATATCTTTTAACTGAGTTAAATTGGGAGATTAAAAATTAAAACACTTTTTATACATTGAGAATCAAATTGACACAATTTAAACATTAGTAAAACATTTTTATACATTGAAAACCAAAACACAAAACTCATACTTTTTGAAGAATAAAAATATAATTAACCCATAACCACTAGATAGTTTGTACTTAGTATTTTCAAATTTGTCACTCTTGTTTTTCTCAACAACTTAGTACATCAAATTTTTTGTCTTCGTTTTTGTTTATAAGGCCTAGTGCATAGAATTCTACAGCATCCAAGGACAAGAGGACCACAAGTCATGGGTTTGATTTGAGTTGAGCAATGACATTATGCCCCTCCTTAAGGTGAAGCGATAAGAATGATGTTCTTGTACTAAAAACAAAATGAAAAAAAATGAAGAATGATTCACAACCAGCTGTTAGGATTGGGTATGAGTCAGGTAGTTTGGGGTAAAGTCAGATTTTGTACAATGGTTGATTCTAAATTTTTGGATATAGAGCCAGACTAACCATCTTTTGGAACTATTGGTGTATTTTAAAATTAAATTAATTATTTAATAATGATGAGTTAGTTCGGTGTTAATATATCAGAATATGTAAAGATGAGAGAAGATGAAGGATGCAGACTTGGGTTTAACCCATGGACACAGAGGAGGAATAAATGGAGATATCCACTCAGTCTTGAAGGGGACGAACAACTACTAGAAGACGTGTTGTATTTTTTGTCATTTCATTTCATTTTTTGTAATTTTATTACTTTATGATATTTTTACCAGCAGAAACCAACTCAACCCAAATAAATTTAAGGAAATTCAATCAATGTAATCAGTATCATAACATTAAAAGAGAAGCTAAGAGAAAGAAGCAAAGTTAGAATGAGTTTCAAAAATGATGATAAATAGCAAAATCTTTTACATTTTCCTTTTCAAATTTATTTATTTTTTATTTGTTGTAGCAGTTCGTGATGCATTGCCATCATCATATAATGCCACAACATGCAGTAAAAATTAGTAAATACATTATTATTAAATTATAAACTATCAACTTATTTAAAAACTTACGGTTAGAGAAAGAGAAAACTTTATTTATATTAGTGTTAATTACATTTTTGATCTCCGAAAGTATGAGTCCAGTGTCATTTTAGTCCCAATATTTAATTGTGTCAATTTGATCCCTAATGTTTAAAAATATTTCAATTTGATCGCCAATGTTTAAATTGTATTAATCTGATCCCCAATAAATAAAAATTGTTTCACTACATGGGGGACTAGATTGACATAATTTAAACATTTAAGACCAAATTGACACAAGGCTCATACTTTGGGGACTAAAAAAGTAATTAACCCTTTATATTATATTCTCAACACGCTTCTTCACATGTAGCCGGGCAAGAATTTTTCAATTATTGTGTAGGCAGTGAGATTCGAACACAAAACCTATATTTATTGCTTGCTTACATAACTTAAACTGTTAGAGAGAAAGAGACAACTTTATTATTATATTATGTTATATTATATTCTCAACATGTACAAAGCATTCTCACATCGCTACCTCTGCCAACTTTTGGAGACATAAATGGCGCTTTCTCAAAATTAAACTTTTAGGGTTCCAAATTTGTTACCGATTGTATTATGAGTATTGGTCAATAAATTTTTAAATAATTATATATTCTTTATGATATACATTTTCATAAAGAATGTATAATTATATTAATTTTTCTAACAAATACTCCTAAAACAGTCGTTGACAACATCCTTTACCTCATGCGTGCGGAGCGATACAATTAACAGTTGAGGCGGTAATATGGGTAGCGCCTTCATCCTCATAGACACACTTTTTGCCGCCTGTGGCAATGGTACATTTGGATATGGTGACGAGATTGGATTTGCTTATATGGATCCCATCGGTGCTTGGACTATTTTTAGGTGCAGTTATGTGGAGGTTTTGGAGTGTGAGGTTGTGGCTGCCACTAATTTTTAATTCGAATCCATTACGACTCACCATATTAACTCCTTGGACAATGGAGTTGTTTACTTTGTCAAATTCCATGAACTGCATCAAAACAATAATTTAACATGTTTTTGTTAGTATTAAATTCAATCCATGCTCTTTCATGAATAAATCTGTAGACGCATCGTTTTAACTGATTTGTCTTTTTACAAAAAATATATATATACAAAATAAAAAAAATAATGATGCCTATTTTCAAAAAACACTTGATGTTCATTTTTTAAAAAAAATATGAACATAATAAAAATATGTAGTTAAAATCATCTGACTAATCTAATTTTTTAATAAATGATTCAAATCATTAAAGTGTAACCCCTATAAAGCCTTCCAAATCCAACTAGACAGAACTAGATATCTCTACAGCTAGAAAGATGCCGATTCGACTTTTTATGTGCAGGGTCGGCCCTGGGCATAGGCCCACCAGGTCATGACTTAGGGCCCCTCAAAATAAACCTAAAAAATGTTTCAAGTTCAAAAATAAAAATAAAAAAAGACCTAAACTAACTTAAAATAAATTGATCCATTAAAAAATTAAAAAGATCCATTCAAAATTAATTAGTTGATTATTGATTTTGGGCCTTGGAAATCTTAGGATTGTGCCTGTTTATGTGTACACATGTCGATTGTGTGAATCCATGTAGAAGGTGAAAAACTTATTTGGAGAAATTATTTTGGATGATATATATATATACTTACATGTCGGGAAGACGTAGGGGGGCCCTTAAAAGTTGCACCACCTTTAAGTACTAAACCATCAAGGTTTTCAAAGCGGAGCCAATGAGAATTGGGGTACTCACTGGTATCAGGGTTAGCCAATATGGTACCTTGAACTTCAAGAGTAATAGGTTTTGAGTGATTGCATGGTCCCCAGAAGATTGCTTCACCTGACATATATGTCCCTCGTGGAATTAGAACATGTGATGGCCCCATTGATTTGCATGCTGCTATCCATGTTTGCACAAAAGCCTGAATCCACATTATTGAGGTTTTTTATTTGTTATATACATAAAAAATAATATATATATATATATATATATATCATAGAAAAAAAATTACAAATAAATAAATCAGAATTTGACTCTTCTAATAAAATAAATTCTAAAATTTTAATTTTATCAATTTAAAAAATCTTAATCTTTTGATTTATTTTAATCATTAAACCGACATGAAAAAAATATTTTAGTCATTAAACATGTACCTAAGTTTATACAATACTTCTTTTTTGTTGAGTTTAATTATTAAAATATCTATTTTTCTGTCAAATTTACTAAATGGAAATAGGTAGATGGTTTGGATTGAAAATAAATAAATGAATTAGGATTTAAATTGACAAAATTAAAAATTTAGAATTTATTTTGTTACAAAAATTAAATCTTGATATATATTTTTTTAATTTTCTCTAAATTATATAACAAAATTTTACTATATATATAAAATAAAATAGACAATACATGCGAGATTATTAAATTTCACTGTAGTTCTTATTGTTTTAATTTGAACAATTTAGTTCCTGTACTTTAAAATCCAATTTCAATTGGGTTTTTTTGTTAATTTTATTTACAAGTACACCTTAGAATTATTATTTTTTTTTTAGCAAAAAAGTAATATTTTATTAGATAAATGAAACATTACAAGACAGAGAGAGAAGCAAGAAAAAGTATCAATTTGAAAAAGCCAAATTGACTCCAATTCGATACAATACTTGGTTGGCAAGAAGTCAACGAACATAACCCAACACAAGTGTAGTTTCTTTCATCCTAAAATTTTTAAGTTCTCTAAAAAGTACTTTGAGAACATTGGTCTTTCATTTTGAACTGTTTCTTCAAACTTTCATTTTTTGTTGTTGTAATTTCCGCACTTATTACTCCTCGGTACACTTTCATCTCTACAACGAGTAACCCAAGCTTGAAAATTTCACCCTTTTGCAAAACATCTTTTTGGATTTTATATTACTCTCGTAGAATACTTCAGATACCCCTTCATTTTACAATACGTAACCCCCCTTTTAATATTGGAATTTTCAAGTCGATACTTCACCATCCATAGCACCTGTTTGTCGTTAATTGAACAATAACCATTCCCATAATAGACTAACTCGCATTGACAATCTACTGGGAAAATAAACCATGCTTGCAAACTGTCATTACCGTCTAACCTCCGATCATAAACATTTACTCTAACCAACCCACTAGCATTGGGTGCGCAAAGGAGGGAATATTTTATCAACCTTAATACTTTTTTGTTTGTATCTTAACCTCAATTGAGAAAATAAATTAGGCAACGCAAGTTCAATACAACTGAAATCACTTGTCGAAACACCTTCAACAACCCCAGTTTTTATATCGTCCACCCCCATTAACCTGAACATTAAAAATAAAAATACATCAAATTATAATTCTAAACAGTTTTAAAGTACATTTGACTCCTTAAAAGTAATTTTGCATTCCTTTCCACTAACAGTAGCAGCCACTAAATATATGGCACCCTTTTGAATGCTTCCAACATTTCCCAACAGCGTATCTTTGTAGTCCGTCCAAACATCAACTGGGAAGAACCGGTCTACAACTTCTATCACGTGACGAACGTACTCTTTGTCCTTACCATCAACAAGCTTGAATCTCATTTTCTTTATCATCCGAAAACGGTCAGACTGGTCAGGATCAACAATCCAGGTCTCAGGATTACCCTCGCCAACTCCAATAAATATCTTGTCAGGTGTAGGGACGGAATCTGACGGACTATTATCACTGATGACAAAAAACAACACGTGGTGGACCACAAATTCGTCCTTAGCATCCTGTCCCAATTGAACATTACCAATGAATTTGATGCCCTTAACCACGATCTTGTCTGATTGACGGTCAGATCTCTTATTACCCAACTCAATACCATTAAGTAATCTCGCCAGGCCTTTATTATCAAACTTAACGTCCCTTAATTGTTCGTCGTATAGCTGTAATTTCCTTACTCCACTCTTAGTCTTCTTAATAAATCGCGGAATATTCTGAACGTACCGTCTGCGAACATACTGGGTCTTAAAAGGTGCACGACTACGGTAACTACGCCTATATCCACTGGCCGCCGGTGTCCTTGACCTCCGGTACGCAAGGGGGGTCCGGTAATGGCTGCTTCCTATTCCTTCCATTTTTTATAAATAACTCCAAATCTTTTATACGAACACTTCTACAGGATCTGTTACCTTTGCTAACCCTTCTGTTCAGACACCTTAGTTTTGATATTTTTGCCCTCTGACGGAACAAACTTCACCAGAGCTCTCCGCTGGCTCTCTTCCAAATCTTTTATCAAAGATAAACCTTTGCAAACACCACCTACCTTCTTTTCAACCTCACCATTAGAGTAACTCTCTGAAAACCAACACCTTAAATTGATTATCCAAATCTAAAATTTTGGGTTTCTCCTCCTATTTGAAAGATCTAATATGTGATGGGTCTTCTTTAAAAAAACGAATTTATGTCCTTTGATTTTACCACTTTATTTGCAGAAGGAATAATATTAGAAGAAAAAAGAAACTGTGATTGAATATGTTTTTTTTTTTTTTTGCTTATACACCCAAGACTAAATTCTTGTTCTTGGTTGTTCTAAAAAGTTTCGTCTAAACTTACCCCCTACTCCTTTATTGTGAGGCCACCTATTCCTGACACTCACCATTTCAAAATTCAAATTTCTCACCTTAGAATATTGACAAGTAATGTCATAAAATTACTAATTTTAATTTTCGATTTGAACGAAGAGATCAAAATAAAACTACACGTAGAAAGAGCATCGGATTTCCTTTCTCCAAATCCTTCTTTGCTCTTGTCCCAGTGCTCTTCCTCTTTCTTACTATTAGATTATGTCTTTTAAGTCTTCACATGATCCAATGAAATGACAGGAATTCGGAGACAACATATCCTTGGCTTTGGAAAAGAAAAGACCAAATTGATCATGAAACAAAAAGTTTATAAACACAAAAACCAATAACATGAACACAATTCTCTCGCAGAAAAGGAATCCCATACCTATGTGTTGGTACTAATTAAGGTTTGTTTTTAAAAACATGGTTAAAAGTAGTTTTTTTTGACTTTTTTGAATCACATCTCTTCTATTTTTTTTTTTTTTTTTGCATATTTTTTCAAAAAAAAAAAATCATAAAAAGTCAAAAAATCAATTTTAACTTAATTGACAAAACCAAATTGAATACCAAAATCTTACTAATATTATATACGAGAATTGTGTCCGATTAATGAGAAGTAATTGACTTTGATGGGCTAGAAACTCACCTGGGCACACTCAGTCTGTCCATCTGCCTTAGCACCATACTTTGTAACATCAAAAACTATAGCACCCTGGCCCCCACAAGAAAACAAAGCCAGACCCAAGAAGAAGAAAGCAAACTTGACCTCAAATCTTCCTACGAGGGCCATTGTGGCTTTGAACCTTAGAAATAAAGTCTTCTTCTTTTTTTTTTTGGTTTAGTTAAAAAAGAATTAAAAATCAGAGGCTTGTAAAATGATTTCACCATCCTTAGGTTTATTTTATGACCACTCAATCAATTTGTGGTGGTTGGTTGAGAAGAAAACGCAATAATACTATTTTGGTTGGTTCCCCTATTTTTAAGTGAAGAGTTGCTATATATTACTTTGTTTTTGTTGCGTTTGATGTCACTGATACATAGCAAGATGTTATTTGATTTCATTAATTTGTTAATAATTATTTCTAAACACAAAAATCAATCATAAATGTCTATGTAGTTAGATACAAAACGTAATAAAAATCTGTTGGGGGGTGTTTGGGAAGTTTTTTTTTTTTTTTGGTTTTTTTTGGCTAAAAAAACACTAAAAGACAAAATTGGTTAAAAATTAAATTAAAAAAAAAACAAATCCAGACAAAATGTCACATTAAACCCATAATCATTTCACTTTTTTTCTCACAAATATCACATCCAACTACAAAAAAACCCAACTATCTTCTCAAACACAAATTTTAACCTCCTAAAATAATCAAAAACTAAAAACACTTATTAAAATAACAACTTTCCAAACAGCCACAATATTACTCTTATGAGTTTTGTGGTCAGTCATCGTGATCAATAATTTAACACTGATTATTTCACTGTATTTGATAACTTAATTTTTTACCGTTAAATTTAAATTTTTTAGTGAAAACCTATTAAGCTCATTTAATAATCACAATTAAAATTTATACTATTTTATATTATAAAACATTGTTAGGCTTTTGAGAGTAAAACTCCTCATTCAATTTTTCTTAGTTTTTTAAAATTAAAAAAAATATATATTATTAAAAATGTTGTGTCATAATAGTGTTGGTCTAAAGATAAAATTTTCTATAATCAACTTCGTTAATTCTGATTTTTTTTTTATTTTTTTTTTAAGTAACATCAAAATTGATTATTTTTACATTGGTTCAAGTTGAAACGGGCTTCTCATTATAAACAAAATTTTCAAAAAAGTTATCTAAAATTTATTGGGAAAATTGTAAATCAATAGAAAGATTCCAAACAAATTGCAAAATCATGAAAAAATTTATCACTTTAATTATTAAGTTTTATCATTAATTTATAATTTTTTTTTTTGATCTTTCCACTTATTTACAATTTCCCCAAATTTATTAAACACCCTATGCACTACTTGTTACCTTTTTGAACACTACACATTATTATTTGTTCACTCTCAAAATTATTTTGCACTTTGCACACCTTGGTGCCACAATCACTTCGATTTATTTTATTTATTTATTACCACTATGAGCTATTGGTTTTAGCTTTTTTTTTTTTTTTTTTGTGATCATGAACATCAGCAAAGAAAACAAAGACTAGCTAAAAGCCAAATAGGCGGCTAAACCAGAGGAGGGTTGGAAACCTAGTTTGCAGGGAGCAACCCTTTGTGCATTGCTTTCGCCGTCCAATGTGCTGCTGTGTTAGCCCCTCTCGGACACCAGGAAAACGAAAAGGACCCTTCCCGAGCCAAGCTTCTGATATCATAAATAATGGCAGCAACTTCCCATGGAGGATCAGTCTCAGATACACACAGAAATATGACAGTCTTGTTATCCCCCTCAATTTCAACAGAAGAGAGGTTGTGGGCGCGAGCCGCATAACAAGCCGATCGAATGGCCCATGCTTCCCCAAGGAAGGAAGATGAGATGTTGACTTTTTGAGTAAAACCATCCAGAATTTGGCCAAGAGAATTTCTAAACACAGCTGCCACTACAGCCTTTGCAAAGCCTATACCCAGTGCGACATCACAGTTGATTTTGATGACTCCTGGAGGAGGGGGTTGCCATGCAATGTGAGTATCCGCAAGCAACTCAGGCCTCGAGGAATTGGGGCTAGAAGAGGGAGTCAAGGGGTGTGCTCGGAGCCACCCTTCTGTGTCCGTCTGGAAGCGAAATAAAGTGGATGAGGGTTCTACCACAACATGATTGAAAATATAGTCATTCCTTGCCTTCCAAATTAACCAACCCAACCATTCAAACTGCCCCAGAAGACAAGAAGCAGAGGAGTGAGTCCCCTGTTGAGCTACCAATTCACATGTCCAATGTAACACTGATGAAACCTCCTCAAAATTTATTCTGAAATTCAGCAGGCTCCCAAACCAAACAGCTCACACCCATCCACAGCCAAACAGAAGATGTTCCACTGTTTCTGGGGCTTTCCAACAAATAGGGCATAGGTTCGATTGGGCACACTTACGTCTATAAAGGTTGTCTTTTGTGGCTAAAGAGTTGGTGCAAGCCCGCCACCAAAAGTGGCAAATTTAAGGTGGGACGGGGAGATGCCAAATAATTTTCCACACTGTTTCTGGGACTTGGAAAGATGATTAAGCGCAATAGGCTGCCCTTTTGTATTTCTCCGGGCCCATAACATGATAACCCGATTTAACAGAGAAAATTCTTTTTGCCTCATTGTGCCAAATGAGATTATCTTTTCTCCCTTCCATTGAAATAGGGATAAACTTGATTACAGATACCTCCTCTGCCGAAAAGACTCGATTTAGAGTAGGCAAGTTCCACTCTCTCCGACTGTTAATCAAATCCTCAACCCTGTGAAAGTTATACCCCAAAGGTTGAACTGTGCCAATCTTAAACCCAGGAAGCCCAGGGACCTATTTATCAGTCCAGATAGATATGGATGAACCATTATGAACTTGTCAACGGATGCCATCGGATAAGAGACTCCTTCCTTGCATTAAGCTAGCCCAGGCCCAAAACGCTCTTCGGCCGCTTGAGGCGTGCAAAAAATCAGTGTTAGGGTAATAAATACCCTTCAAAATGCAAGCACAAAAAGAATTGGGATTTTTAAGCAACCGCCATCATTGACGGGCCAAAAGAGCTAAGTTGAAATCATGAAAATCACGAAAGCCCAAGCCTCTTTTAGATTTGGAAAGTGTTAGAACCTCCAATTTTGCCCAGTGAATTCCCTTACTCTCCGAATCCCCTCCCCACCAAAAGTTACGGATATAGGAGTTCAATTTTTTGCAAAAATGTTTGGGAAAAGCAAAGCAGGCCGTAGCGTACTATGGGAGAGATTGGGCAACAGCCTTTAGAAGGACTTCGCGACCGGCTAGAGAGAGAAGTTTTGCTTTCCACCCTTGGAGCTTGGATAATATTTTTTCAAGGAGATAGCTATAAGCTTCAGTGTTTGATCTTCCCCAAGAAGATGGCAATCCCAGATAACTAACAGTTGAAGAAGCTTTGGTAATACCAGTTTTTTGACAGATCTCATCTTGAATGTTCTGAGGGACATTTGGAGCAAAGATAATATTGGATTTATCAAAATTGATAATTTGGCCTGAAGCCTTACAATATGTACGGAGAATGGCCTGTAAGTTAGCACTTTCTTGAGGATTCGCTTTAAGAAACAAAAGAACATCATCAGCAAAGAGAAGGTGCGAGAGAGTTAGGCAATGTCTAGCAAGCTTTAATCCGAAAAATTCACGAGATCTCAAACCAACGCTGAGAAGTATGGAAAGCACATCGGACACCAGAATAAACAGATAGGGTAAAAGAGGATCCCCTTGTCGTAAACCTCGCGACGGAGTTATAGCTACCCGAATAGCCCTATTAACAACAATTCCAAACCTGACTGCAGTCACACACTTCCTTATCCACTGGATCCATTTAGAGTGAAAACCCATCCTAGCCAATATTGCGAAGAGAAAATCCCACTGAATTCTATCATAGGCCTTATTGAAATCCAACTTAATTGCCATCGCCGGTGTACCCCTCTTCTGGATTTTAAGGGAGTGGAAAGCTTCATGAGCAACTAGAATGTTGTCTTAAATCATTCTTCCTGGAACAAAAGCAGACTGTTGGGGGGAGATTAGTTTTCCCAAGACTTGCTTCAAACGATTGGCCAGAATCTTTGTAATTATCTTCAGGCTGAAGCTGCACAAAACTAATTGGCCGAAGATGCGATAATTTTTCAGAGTGAGGGACTTTTGGGATCAAAACCAAATTTGTTTGGTTCAATTCTTTCAGAAGATAGCCACTGTTGAAGAAGCTCCTGATAGCATTAAAAATCTGAGAGCTCACTATTTCCCAATAAGTATGGTAAAAGAAACTGGGAAATCCGTCCGGCCTGGAGATTTTAATGGACCTAACTGGAACACTGCCTCTTTGATCTCTGTATCCATAACTGATTTGATTAGAAGAGTGTTCATCTCCCTTGAAACCAGAAGCTCCACCACTGATAGAGCTGACTCCATGTCTTTAACTCCAACATCCGAAAACAGATTTTCAAAGTATTCTTGAATATGGCTGTCTATCTCAGAAATAGACTCTACCCACGAACCATCTTCTTTTTGAAGCTTTAGAATTTGATTCCTTTGTCGATGTTGGATAACGGAGTCATGAAAAAAAGAAGAGTTTATGTCCCCATATTGCAACCATCTAATACGGGAACGTTGGTGCAGATACATTTTCTCTCGTTCGAGCAGCACTTCTATCTCTCGCTTAAGTTGGTTCTGAAGATACATATGAGCCTCTGATGGTGGTTGTCCTTGAACCTCATCAAGTCGGAATTTTAGAAGGGTTAATTGAAATTTATTATTCCCAAATACTTCACGGCTCCAACTACACAGATCGATCTTACAGGATTTGAGTTTTTGGACAAGTTGGAACATTTGAAACCCGGCAGAAGTATGTGCCCAACAACGTTGGACAATATCACCACACTCGGAATTGGTTGTCCACATTGTTTCGAACTTGAACTGTCTTGGGACATTTTTTAAAGGCAAATCACAACATAATATAACAGGGCAGTGATAAGAACCAATAAAAGATTCATGGAATACCTAGGCATGAGAGTAGAGGACGCGTCATTCCACAGAAGCAACCGCTCGATCTAATCTCTCTCGAACATTGTGTTCCCCTATTTGGTTGTTCGACCAGGTGTATGCAACCCCTTTGAATTCTAGGTCCATTAACTTACATTCAGATATTAATTCTTGAAATTTCTGCACTTGACT